CAAGCCTCAGCTTAGATTCTACATGAGCAAAAGGCTCAAGATGAGGCAACTTTATACATTATTTCCTATCCTACAACAGACATGTCCAGGACACAAATCAAAATACAATGCATCTGTATACCACACTGGCAACACCAACCTACAGTTTCTATAATAGCTTCGTGTAGGTTATATCCTCCCCTAATAAATTCATACAGCTTTCCTCCTCCCTCCCCCCCCTCCCCAGAGAATAAAAACAAAAGATGATAGCAGCTTCCACCTCTAGTGGCAATGAATTTCATATACTCTAGGATTGGTCACCAAAGGCTCACTTTTTAACAGACACAGGTAGGGGAACTGCAGCTGGGGAAAACCTATTCCTTTAAATAGCTTTGTTAGTTGGATAAGATGCTACCAGACTCGAGTTTTCACCATCGTGGGTTAAACAAGGCTCTCCTACTACAAGGTAGGGCGCGAGTAAAAGTGGGGTAGTAAGTGCTCTAACACAGGGGTCTCCAACCTTGGCGACTTTAAGCCTGGCGGACTTCAACTCCCAGAATTCCCCAGCCAGCAAAGCTGGCTGGGGAATTCTGGGAGTTGAAGTCCGCCAGGCTTAAAGTCGTCAAGGTTGGAAACCCCTGCTCTAACACGTCTTTCTCTATACTTCCAATCCTTCCCCGGCTGTCATAATAGCTGGAACCGGTCTTTGGAGCATACACAGTGTCTCTTGTGCTCCTTAGACCCATCCCGGTAACCTTCCCCAACAAACGGGGCGTCCATTTCATTCTCAAACGACTGGGACACTCCCAAGGCGCACGACGGGCGCTGACAGGCAGCAAAAGGTTAAAAAAAAAAAAGGACTCTCAGCCAGCCCGCTATTGTATCCCCAAAAGGTAACATCAAACCCACCTTCAAAATCAGAGAAACCCCAGGAAAGAAAGGTCACAAACGGTTGATTGTAAGGATGCCGCAAGGGTTCCTGGGTACGGAAACAGCGTTCTGCCTAGAACGGCTCTTCATCCGGCTTCGGCCACCTACAGCACCCCCTGTTTAGGAGGACCAAGCCAGAAGAGTCGCTTCCCCGCCCCGCAATAACTGTTACGTTGCCGGAAAAGAAATCTTGTTTTCTGCAGATTTTCAGTTCTTCCGAATAACAGGGACAATTGGAGGCACAGACGCCGATGTGGAAGGAAGCCCTGTTCTTTCCGTTTTTCCACGGGCAGGAGCATTAGGTGCCGCATGAGTTTAGCCAAATACATTTACGATTTCAGTTAGATTCAGTGCGCAGAGAGAAATAAGCCTGCCAAATTCAATAAAGTGTATCCAAGAGGTTGACCTACCAAGGGCGCTAATAGGCGGGTTAATTCCGTTTTATTTGATTAATTGACGCTGTATAGTCGACTTGAATAGGATCGGGCTGCCCTCGTGGCTAACGCTTTGTATAGTCTGTTCTGTCCCTGATAATTCATGCTGGACTAAGGCGTCTGATTTTCCTCGAATGATACGCTCATAGAAATACAGTGTAACTCTCCTCCCAAATACATGCATGCATAGAACTGTACTTGTTTCTGTTTACATTTCACAATCAAAGCTTAAAGTATAGGCTTTCCACTTCAAGAGTATGCCATAATGATTTCAATAGAATTTATTCCTAAGTAAAAATGTATAAAATTACCTTAAATCGTCGTCGTTGTTCTCTTAAAGTACAACATATTAAATACAGATGACTCATCATAGAAGTGCAGCCTATTGAATAGGGGCAGCAAGTGGTTAAATTTTTTGTAAAACCATTCAGAATTCACAATTAAGATTTTTATTTATTTTATTTTATATCGAATTTATATACCGCCCTTCTCCCTGAGCACTCAGGGCGGTGTACAGCAAAGTAAAAACATAAACTACAAACATTAAAAAATACAATTAAAAAGATATATATATATTTGGCCCCATAATTAAAAGCAATGACAAAACAATTAAAAACATTTAAAAAAAGTGTTAGGCCAGCCCGGCTTGCTGAAAAAAGAAAGTTTTAAGGGCACGGCGGAAGGCACCGAGTTGCAGTTTTGTTTGTTGTAACATGGAATGACCTCAAAATAGAACTTTCTTCACAACATAAACTGCATATAATATTATTAAGAATGGAAGAAATCCAGTCTTCAACTTGATCAAATCCTGGTTTACTGGAAATTAATAGCTAAAGGGAAAATTATGACAGCTTCAGTTGAATCCAGCATCAGATCAGGAAAGACTGAATTAGATCCTTCATAAACTACCGTAAATGCCCTTTTTATACCATGATAATTTATTCTGCCATGTCTTGGTATTAAAAATGGTTTCTTAATACCGAGACATGGCAGAATAAATCATCCTAGTCAACTATCACTGGCTATGCTGGTTTTAACATGGTTAGGATTGTCCAGCACTTCTGGAAGGCCCCAGGTTGTAGAACACACCTTAAAATAAACTGCACATTGTCTTTAAAATAATATGTAGTTTGACTTTCAATCAGATTTACCTCTGTATAAAGTATACGCATAAGATGAAATGCAGATTCATAAATCTCTTAAGCTCATTTGCTATACTTTCAATTTATCCATGCAAGAGCTCATTTTTATCATAAATCTGCAGGTTATAGATCTGACAAATTGCAGGATGTCTGGTTTAGCAGGTGAATATTACATAGAAGGAAGGGGAGACATGTCTGTTGAATTTATTTCAGCTGTTGAGACATGTTGCTGAGATAGTTTGAGGCTTATATTAAATTCAGATAGTTAACAATAAAAGATAGGACTCCATTTTAAACTGTAATCCTGATCTTACTGAAGAGGATTTATGGAATAGTTTTATAGGTTTTGTGAAATTTTATAGACCATCATTTTTGAAATGCACTGTTAAGCTGTATTCATTGCAAAATACTAACTCATGATTAACTGGGTTTGTATCACATGCTAAACTGCAAGCTAGCTATAGTTATAAACTAGAATGCCTGAACATTTTTATAAAGTTCCAGAGAACAAATTACAGTAGTACCTTGGTACTCATCTTTATTTGGTTCCGGGAAGTGTGATGACTACCAAAAACTGAGTACCAAACACATTTTCCCCATAAGGAATAATATAATGATTCACAAGGCACTTGACACTGACATGTTCTAGCTTATGCATTGAGTACCAAATAAATGATAAGTACAGGTAAGTACTTCTAACTCTATCAAATATGCAGGATTTGAAGTGCTAAAGCAAGTTGTAATGCTGCTTGGGATAACAAATTCCAGAATTCCTGGTGAGGAGTTCTGGGAAATCAAACAAAGCTAAGATGGGAATTGTTAGTTGATGGCTCAGTATGTTGGAAGAACCCAGCTGGAATAGTTGATTTACAGCTGATTTGTGCAAATGCAGCCATTTGGGCTAATTCCATTAGATATAGGCCAGTTAACCCCAATTAATGAGTTACACAAGCACAACTGCAATTTAATGCAATTGGAATCACATTCTGAATAGCTTCTGTATATATATCCAAGTGGTGTGATAGACTGAAACCCTAACTTGGCTTTATGTTGAGTAAATTCACAACACATTAAATCACCCAGCAGCCCATCCCGTTTTACAGTACTGTGTTGAGTGAACGTAACCACAGTCTATGGTTCACCGCATCTCCTGATAGTATATTAAAGAAAACTGGGTTCAATAATGAAGGATAACATGAAAACCTAACTCGTTCCGTATTTGCGTGTACTTTCACTGTAAGCCTGCGGTAATCCAACTGAAATACAATCGGAATTGCTTTCAAGCGCAATCTTGCGCCCTTCTCACAAATAAAGCTTATTTTCAGTGCCTCTTAAGCGTGCATAGGAGACCGTAATCGAGCTAACCAGAAAGCAAGCGGGCCAGTCGCAGGTTCGCTGAACAAGTGCAGAATCTCGAGGTCTAATTGGGCACGTGGCTATAGCCGGGCGGGGCCCACTAATTAGTTCAGCGCCGGTCGGTCGGTCGGTCGGTCGGTCGGCTGGCTGAACGAAAGGATATTTTTCTTTTTTCGCGGCTTCTTATGGTCGAGCCATGTTGCGAAAGCTCACCGTAGATCAGATCAACGATTGGTTCACAATTGGCAAAGCGGTCAGTGGGGTGGAATTCCTGGGGGGCGAAGTCCGGGCTGCTGGCTTTGCTCATCCTCTCGTGGAATCTGTTGAAGAGCCGGCGCCTGCTGCTAATGTGTAAGTAGGCCGGGACCTGCAGCAAAACTAGTTCTCCATCGAGCTCACGCTTCACAGGCTAATCTGCTTAGAAAAGTCCAAAACTGCCCAGGTTCTTCGCTGTTGAATGGTATAAATTAAGCCCCTTCCATCAATAAATGAAATTCCCCATTCATCAATAGGATGGATTTCACCGCTGTACAAATTCTACTAACATTATTAAGCACGATTTGTTTTTAGAAATAGAATAACGCCTCCCCCCTCCACCTTCCCATCTATAATAATCTGGTGGTGGCCTACCTCAAATTGCGAATTGTGTAATGATATATTAAGTTTGAAGATGCTGCAGCGCGTTTCTTTCTGAATTACAGCTAGTTCCTGTAAAGTAAGAAGCACTACCCATCTAAAAACATAAGATCTGTGCTACCCGAAAATGGTGTGTGTATAAAAAAAATGTATACTCTTACATGTACACTTTTTATGACTATAAAGTGTCAACCTGAATCTATTAAACGGGCAGAGCCTCAAAGAATATAGTGCTGTTTTCTTGTAAAAAGCAGAGAGAAATAAGAGTGGGGAGTGCTTCTTTCTGAATTGGGCTCAACTTGGCCAGGTTATATAAACTTTCAGCAGCATATTTATCTATTTGGTTTTGGTTTTAAACATTTTTAAAGTTTGTCAATCTCAGTTTGCCAGAACTTCAGTTTTACCAAAAACATTGATGGTGTTCACAGTTACCATATAGCAGTAAGCCACAATTTTCTTATGCTTTATTTAATAAAATACAATTAGTTATGTACACAACACACCAGACTAAATCCAAGCCACAGTAGGGTTTACAGTACAGTAATGTGTGTACTATATTATATGAGCACCATATATAGCATGCTAGTAATTCTTAGAGAATTGGTTCATCCCTGTCTGTCCATAGAAATAAATTTTCTATTGTGGGATTAAACCCTGGGCTAAATAGATCTTGGATTTGATCTATTCATCTCAACAACTATTTTCACTGGTGTCTTGCTCTGCAAATATAAAATTACTGTATGGCTATAGTTCTCACAGTTCATACGAGACTATAACTGTGTTTATAGAATTTTAAATTCTAAATACTCATGTTGTAGTCTCTGTCTCTTTATAGGGAGAGTTGAAAATAAATAGCTATATATTACTTAACATCCTCTGAGGTAATGTTAACCTGCTTAAATTATCACAGTGTTGTTTTTGTAGAGTAATAAGTATTCTAACTGAGAATAAAACAAACGGGAACTCTTTATGGAGAAACAGTGAGAAAAATATTTCAATCTTATATACCGTAAATTTTTTCTTGTTGCCTATTTCTAACTTGGGGTTTGAGTCCTGAAGAACAATACATTTGTCAACATGTTTACTAAGAAGAATATCATATATCAAACGAGATTTATTCAAAGAGTATACTAAGCAGCTTTTACAATATTTTTCTTTGTTGCTTTAACTTCACAGTTTTATATTGTTTGCAGACAGTGAAGCAAAAGAATGCTAATGAGAAAAACACCTTAAAGCTCTCTTTTTCTACTACTTCCTAATTTTCACAATTCTTTAATTGCTTTCAGCGTAGAGCCTAACTAGAGATTCCCAAATCAACATTGTTGAGTAAATTTATACAACACATATTAACCAACCATATTTTAGTTCAGCATGTTTTACATATTGAGCCATTCAACTTAACATTTTAAAGTTATGATTATTCTTTGAAATTAACCCTGTGGAGGCTAAGTAATTCTGCATCTGCAGATGTGATACTGGCAGAAGCATTCATTTAGTTCAATTTTTAACCAAATCTCTCCCTCTCTCTCATTCTAACCTTACTCATGATTTTTCAAAAAAATTAACATCATTTGGTAAAAAAGTACTATTTTAGCAATTTTAAAAATCCCATTTCTTTGCAAATCTAATTTCATTTTTCATAAAAAATTACAGCATAAAATCTAATTCAATGTATTGCTTCTAGGTATTTATATTTTCTGGTGGATCTGAAGCAAAGGAAAAAAGGAGTTCTTTTTTTGGTAATAAAGGATTGCAAGCCATAATGTATCTGCTTTTCTATCAGACTATTTCAGATAAAGGAATTTTGTCTTATATAGCCATTTTTTTTTTACAACCTGTGAATGTCATTTCAGATCATCCTATATGAATTTTACTGAATTTCTGCAGGGTGTAAATAAAGCTGTCAAGCAGATTCCCTTCCCTTTCAGGTTTTAATTTTGTGTAAATGCAAATAATACTCCAGCATTAGTCTGGCTACTATTTTGCATCCTCCACAGCAGTGTTTCTCAGCCATGGGAACTTTAAGATATGAGGACTTCAACTCCCTCAATTAGCTGGCTGGAGAATTCTGGGAGTTGAAATCTACACACAGCTGCCGAGTTTGAGAAACACTGTTCCACAATATCCCAGATGTAGTCTCGTGCCAGGGAATTGTGGAGAGCACATTGTAGCCATTATAAAAGGAAGACATATATATTTGTCTTAAATCTATGATTAAATCTTAAAATGTGCACACATTTTTCCAAAGTGTCAATATAAAAAAAGTGTCCTTTGGGTGCTAGTGTATCTTTGGCATCTTTTACTATTCTTTTTTGTTTGTTTAAAAGGCAAAAGATGGTGCTATTGTTGTGACCTACTTTAGGCCTTCATAAAGCTTATCTGTTTCCAGTTTATTAAAAACAGGATCTTTTATAAAATGGATTATTATTTTCTTCCTTTTAAATTTTCAGATTTGAGTTCAACATCTTTGTTTTGAAAAGATTGCATTTGGTAAGCAAATTGCAGGATAAAAATCTGTCAATGTCTTTCACCATGACTATGTTTCAGGACATTGCTAAGTCTTTAATTTGTTCTTGCATATTTAGAGGGGCAAAATAAATGGTATTAAAGACAGCCAACATAGCCAGTTAAGTATAACAATATCCAGCTTCTAGTCCTTCCTTAGTCCCAGAAGCCAGCTGGGTGACCTTGGACTAGTCATTCCCTCTCAGCCCACATCAACATCAGGCTGCAAGACAAGACAGCTGATACCCAAAAACCCTCATGGCATCATGTGTTGTTAAGCTTTGCTCTAATAATTAGGTGAATGCACTGAAAACAAGGGGACCCTGCAACCATGCAGGATTAAAGCTAAGAAAAATGATAAAACCTCTATAAAAAAATCTCTGCTATAAGGAGGATCTTGATGTGACACTATTAATTAGTATAAAGCATCCATCCTATTTATTTAAGGACTATGCCAGCTGTAGTTGTTTTTAAGTTTAAATTTGCATTTATGAGGATGGGAAGATAATTTTGGAGTACTGAGTCATTACAGAATGATTATAGCTAAACTGAATGAATATTAGCAAAAGAGAAAATAATTAACTTGATGGGTAGTAATAGGGAAGATTCCAGATTCTGTGGGAGAATGTTGGAAGGATGCCTTGTGTATTTTTGTCAACATAGCTGGATACAGTGGGGATTTCCTCTTTGTCCATTTTCCTGGAGTTGGTGCTGGATGCTGCGAATTGGCTGGAAAAATTTGTATTCCAAGCATCAGCCAGTTGATCTTGCTGAGCTTCTTTCTCAAGATTAGTAAGGAACTCTTTTAAAACTTGTTTGAATAAATAAACAATTTCCCAGGGTAAAACATCATTTTCTGCTAGAGCCTCTCGAAATCTAGAAAAGGAAAGTAAAGAAAAGGCAAATAGCCTGAATTCTATTAGCATGTATTCAACTTCTCTCTTAAAAATGCAGGGGTAGAGAAGATATACTATCCTTTTTAGCAATGCTTTTTAAATAAAAAGAAAACAGGGAATAGGAAAGAATGATGTTTGCAATACAAACAGCTGAAGCATTTTTTTTTCTTGTCCAATTTGTCCAAGCAAGTTGATTCAAACTGACATTTCCCTGGAGCCCTTTTATAGGATCAGAGAGAAATCAGTGAATTGTTCTGGGTTTTGTTTTGTTTTAAATTCCATATGCTATATGTGCAGGTTGATATGTATATATTTGTATGTGTGTGTGTGTATGTATGTATGTATGTATGTATGTATGTATGTATGTATGTATATGTTGAAGAATTGTAGAGAAACTTGTTTTGTAATCAAAACAGTCTTATTCTTATCAAAATTGCATGAAACAAATGTAAATGAGGTTCACTAGTTCAATGAAAATCATACCATGCAGATTTTAAAACTGGACACAGGATAAAAATGTAGTCAATGAATATGAAGGCAAATGTTTAGCAAAAGGAACAAACATATTAGTGCTCTAAATATTAGAGCTATGAATATGTAGTAAGCATTTAAGTGGTGTGTGCTGAATTGTTACACTTAATTGTTTTGCCAAGCTCAACATTAAAGCTGAAGGCATATTTTTCTATTACATTTTGTGGGCAAATCTTGGAAATTCATTCATTACATGCTATTTAACTGAACAAATGAAATCCTAGCAATGTTTTTTGAGATGTCACAACCAATACAGAGAGTCTTACGAATAAGGTTGCATATATTGCCAGAAAATAAGTTTCTTTGAACTCATTCCAAAGAATTATTCTTTTAGTTTGAAGCATGCTAGTTTTGAATTAATTTGAAACAGTTTTCTTGTAGGAATAACATTTAATATAAAGCTGCAAAGATGGGGACCCCTTTCCCCTTTCCTGAAGCTTATATGATACTACATAGATAAAATACCTGCTGAGTATGATTCCAGTTTGACATGGTTGGATTTGAGAGCAAAGAATTTCAAGTTGTCGTTGTTCAGTAGCTGGGATAGTTATTTGAAGATTTTGGTAGCTCCTTATTCCATTGTAATCATTTTCAGGTTTTTGAATTTTGTGTCCACTTTCAATCTCCTGTATCAGCCGTTCACGTTCTTTCAAATGCCATTTTAGTTCTCTCAGAAGTGTCTTTGTCACAACTTCTGAGCCAGGGTATTGTCCACTTTTGTAAGAATAACTTTTTGGCCATTTCATCCAGCCAAAGAATGGCATTTTGACAACTATTTAAAAAATAGAAACAAAAAGATACATGCACATACCAATGCTAAAAGGGGAATTGGAAATTTAGTTATCGGGGATTTCTCGCTCATGTTTGATAGTTAAATATTGTAATGTTACCCATTTTTCACATAGCCACTCAGTTTTAAAGTGCAAATGTATCCATGTTTAAATGGATTTAGTAGAGCTTAATTCTGAATACCCAGGTATAGGATTGTGCTGTCAGTAATAGTGCAATAAAAATGCAATTGTATTTCTCCCAGAAACCAATATGATATTTAAAATATTCTAGCTTTATTCTGTTTTGTTCTGTCCTGGGTATATTTAATCTTTGTAGCGCCTCTTGAAGGAACTGGCTAAGTCCATCTCAATTCAATATTTCTCTTTTCAAAAACAAAGACAATTTAAGCTATAGTATTCTGTATGTTCTGCAATCTAAATGTAAACAAAACAAAACAATTCAAAATGTAGATATTTATAAAATAACATCTGGTATGAGAAAATCTAGATTTTAGAGAAAAGACTATATATATTTGCAACAGTTTATTTTAATTACAAAAACTACAAAGAGATGTGTAGCAGACTAACAAATATATGCAATTAAAATGTTAATTTTTATGGAATCCTAAAATTCATGGTTATTTTGAGTAACTCGTAAGAGATTTATATTTTTAGTGCATCAAATTTTTTAAAATTAGAATTATTCTTATACTTACTGTACTTGTAGAAAAGAATCTATTTCACCAGCAAGACTATAGATGAGTTCTGCTTGATGTGGTGATTGTTTATTCCAGTATGTTCTGTCTGAGACAAGTATTCCTCATTTTACTCACTTAAGAAAAGTGTATTATCCCAGCTTTTAAAATAACTTAATTCCTTCTATCAACAGAGTTCCCAGAACCCTCAGACATAGATTCCTCTGAAATTCTTTCCACAAAGCCCATTCAGAGTTTCTGCCTTTCCATACAGACTTCGTCTTGAGCAAGTGAGAACAGTTTCAGAAGCTTTCTATGGATGCTAAATGTATTGTCTGTAGTCATATGAATAATCGTAGTCTGAAACCAAGCCAGATGTGCTCCCAGCTAAAGTAAAACTGTCGGTTGGATGATGTGATGCTTGGATGTGCATAGCTGTAGGTCACAGTTCACTGCTATATTTTTATGCCCTGTTGTGCTCTAAAAATAACCCAGTTGCTTTTTGTCATCGGACTAAACTTTGGAGCAATTTTGGCAAATTTGTAGTTTCATTCTTTGTATTAGTGATAAGAGAAATTATTGCACTACCCAGTTTACCTATTCATCTTATATCAATACGTGTATATACACTAAAATTAACACAACTTATGTAAGCTCATCTCAAGCAACTTTATGTCAGTCCTAAGGCTAGCTATTAAGCAGCGTACAGAGAGATTTTTAGTGTATATTGTTTATAGCTAAATTAACCCTCTGTTAAAATGAATAAGTGAAATTCTTATTTATAGTCCATAACTGTTATCAAGTTTGTGAATTCTTTTTCCTAACCTAACAAATGTATTCCTAACCTAACAAGGGGTGTCAAACTCAAGACCCGTGGGCTGGATCCGGCCCATGGGGTGCTTAGATCTGGCCCGCGTGGCTAACCTTGAAACAGCAAAAAACTAGGCCCATGGTGCCTCTGCCAGCAAAAATGGAGCTCGGGGGGTGGTGTTTGCGGGCTCCATTTTTGCTGGCAGAGGGCTGCAGGAGGTCTTCATGGCCAAAAATGGGATACAGGGGGCATGTGTGGGGTCCCCAAGCTCCATTTTCACTGGCAGAGGGCTAGCAAAACAAACTAAAAATAAAACAAAAGGAGAAATGTTTTCCCTTTTGAATTTGAGCATGCAAGAAGGGGAAAGAAGAAAGACAAAAAGAAGGAAAGGTAGGAAGAGAGCAAGGAAGGAAAAATAAAGAAAGAGGGGAAGGAAGAAGAAAGGAGAAGGAAGAGGGAGGGAAGGAAGGAAGGAAGAAGGAAGGAAAGGAAAGAATGAAGGAAGGAAGATTATAATGAGAGTGAGGGAAGTTTCAGGAAAGTCCTGCTTTAGCACTTGGCCACCACAGGTGCCCCCAATATGAGTGATGTCGAGCTGGCTATGCCTACCATGGCCACACCCCCTGGCCACACACCCCTGGCCCCCTGGCCCTCCGAGTTTAGTATAGTTTTCAGTGGCAGCAGTCTATTTTTTTAAAAAATGGTCTCAACTGGTTAATCCCCTTTTCAAAAGTGTTGAATTGAACTGTTGTTGAAAAATCGTCCTGCAAATCTGGACTAGATGTCATGCTGCATAAAGGGTGACATCTGTGTCTGTTATTAAAGCTGATATTGCTTGTATGTTGGAAAAATTCAAATGCCAGTACTAATCATCCTCAGTTGGAAGGTTTTCACATTGCATTGTGTGTGGTGCTATAAAAAGTGGAGAAAGGAGCTGGATGTAGAACGACAGAATGCCTTTGCAAATTTTCAGACAGAATTAAAATGTTCTTTGCCATCTCTTTGCTGGCATAGTTGCCAGGTCAATAACAACTCTTTGGTTATTGTAAAAGCTAAATAATGGTGATAAGTTACTTTAGAAAAAAAATACATACTTTGGATAATGTGAGCCACTCTACAGAATAATCAAGAAACTAAAATTCTGCAGGATTAAGGATTCAATAAACAATCTGAGAGTCTAGATTACTTAAACAGCATGGACAGAAAATGATACGTATTATAAACTTCAGTATTTAATCCTTAGAAAATCATGGAGTTGTGTGTCTGGAAATCAAATAAGAGATTACTTCATAAGATTTCATGTGTTTTCATAAGTAAACCTTTTCATGGGAAACTTTTAAAAAAATTTCCTCAAATCTGTAGGCAGAACAGTTTAAACAGGCTATTACTAAACGTAAGAATGGACAGTTTTACTTATACTGAACCAGTGTTTTCCAACTTAATCAGGAGTTCTACATTAGCTCAAGTGAGTCAGTTGGTTTTATATATTGATAGAAAAATCTGTAGCAAATGAGAAATAAAGAAAATAAAATATATAATATATATATATATTAAAAATACTATGAAGCATCTACTTTTTTACCACTGCATTAAATGGATTACCAATATTGTTGCTTATTTTGAATGACAATATAGACTCCTCGTACCTAATTACTTTGAAAGGATAAGTATATAGGTAGTCCTCAAATTACATCTATTTGTTCGGTGACTATTCAAAGTTAATAACACTGAATGATGGGGATTTATGACCGGTCCTCATAGATTCAGGTGTTACAGCATCTCTGCAGTCAAGTGAGCACAGTCCAGGTGTTTGGCATCTGGCTTGTGATTATGATGTCGAGCAGGTACATGATTGTGAATTCTAATGTTCCCTGCCCGTTTCCCACAAAGTCAATAGGGAAGCTGGCAGGAAATTGGAAGTTACAGTCATGCAAGATTGCCCCTTAATGACCGTATGTTCCTCTGTAACAATAGCAACTGGGACTGCTATTGCTAAGCAATGCAGTCACAAGTAACATCACATTTTACAACCATATTGCTTAGCAATGGCAATTCCAATCTCAATTGCCGTCATAAGTCAAAGACTGTAAGGAAAGTAATGGCAGAATCTGGCGGTGGAGTTAAAAGAGGGTTCATCTTAGAATCTCAATGTGGCCACAAGCAAGTTAAGTCCACCACCCCCTTGAATTCTGTTGTTAACCATTATCTAACTCCTAGCAGATGCTCACCTTTGGCTGAGAATATATGTTTTTTTTCTACAACAAATCCCAGATTTAACTGGCACCATGAGTTAAAAGGATCAGCTATTTGGAAAAGACACTTGTGTAAGATTCTAGTAATTAAGAGAACACATTTGTATTCTAAGAAAACCCCTCTGGCATATATTGTTTTGAACAATACTATTATGTGGAACATAGCATCTTTAGACAAAACAGTAAGGTGCTTTTAATGATAGACTACGATTAAGGGGTAAGGTAGCAGTGATGCCTAAAATTTTATATGCCCTTGGCAAGATGTATTTAATGTTCAACATGAGAAAGGAACTTGTTTGTAATGTATGTCTCAGAAGTAGGTCTTCAAGAGATTCATGTCACGTTGACCAAACATCAAAAATTAATCCTATTATTAAACTAGCCAAGAGGCTGGTCTCCCTGCGCCATAGCATTTAAAAATATTGTTATGCATTGTGCTATATGGCTGCTTGTTAGTTATAATTTCCTTTAGAATAATATGTATGTATGTTAAAGTATAGCATTTACATTGGAGTGCATGCTTCATGGGTTAGCCAGGCATTGATGGATTATATATCATCTACATGTGATGCCATTATGTATAGAGAGAGGCAGTTTGGTATAGTGATTAAGTCACTGGGCTAGAAATTGGGAGGCTACGAGTTCTAGTCCTACCTCAAGCACAAAGCCAGCTGTGTCACTTCTGAAAAAAAAACTTTGGCAATAAAGTCCTGGAAGTCCCAGCAAATTAACGCTGATTCAAATGCACAAAAGAACATCTGAGTAAAGCTATCAATACATATTAAAACAACCATGGATCAGTTTAATTCTGCTCAGAGTTATTCATGCCTTGTTCCTTTCCTGAATGTCTTATGCTGCATATGGGGCTGCCCTTGAAGAGTATTCAGAAGCTTCAGCTGGTGCAAAATACAACAGATGAGACAGTATTGGGTATTCTTAGAAGGACACACATTGCACATCTGCTCATGAGCTGCATTGGTAGCTGATTGCAATGTGCAATTTAAGTGCTGAGGTTGACCTTTACAACTGTACATGACATGGTGCCATATTATCTGCGGATCCACCTCTCCCCAGTTACTTCTACCGTAATTACTTCATCAGGTCCAGCAGGAGAGGCATGTGGGTCCTTTGTGCTAAAGAGTTCCATCTGATTGGACTCAGGAGATGAACTTTGCTGGTATGGCACCTCCCTCTGGAACACCATCTTCCTGAGGTGAGGTTAGCACAAATCCTTAGGGATTTTGGGAAAGCTCTCAAAGCATGTTATTTTTAATCAGGCCAGGAGATCCCTTGAGCGCAGAGAACCCATGGCACTTGTACTATGTATGTCATCTAAATTAACTCCCCCTGATGTTGTTTTACTTGAATTTAATTATTTAATTGCTTTAATTGGTTTCTATTGTAGGTTTTAATAGTTGTGTGTGTATGTATGTATGTATGTATGTATGTATGTATGTATGTATATATATGTGTGTGTGTGTGTGTGTTTTCTCAGGTTTTCGCGGGTGTTTGTTATTCGGGTCTTCTCCCACGTAAAATTGGAAGTGTCTTGGCGACGTTTCGACGAAGTCTCATTTGTCATCTTCAGGCTGGTGTTCTCGGCTTCGTGCTTCCAGGAGCAATGTGAGATCGCAGCTGTCTCTTCCTTTTAACTGCTAGTGGGGGTGTGAGCTGATTGGGTGGGAACTTGGCTGTGTTCTGATTGGGTGGAGGTGTGTTCTGATTGGTTAGGGGCTTGGCTGTGCTCTGATTGGATGGGGGGTTTGTTGTGCTCTGATTGGCTGGGGGGGTGTTCTGTTTGGGTGGGGGCTTGGTTGTGCTCAGCTTAGTCTGAGTTGCAGGGGGATTTGAGCTGGTGAGCTGCATTGTTGTTGTTTGGCTTCGTGTTTGTGGCCGTGCGAGCTCTTCATGGTGGGTGTCAGTCTGCTTCATGGATGGATTGGAGGGGTTTAAAGTGGCTAATGATGTCATATCCCTCTTCACCCAAGTACCAATCAAAGAAGCCTTGACAGTTATCCAAAACAAATATAACCCCCCCAAGCACATCTTAGATCTGACCAACCACTGCCTATCCAACACATACTTCATCTATAATGGACAGAAATACAAACAAATAGAAGGAGCACCCATGGGACCACCCCTCTCACCTGTCATTGCCAACCTCTATATGGAATACTTTGAATCCCAAGCGCTAGAAAAATCTGATCACAAACCCAAACTCTGGCTCAGATATGTAGACGACACCTTCATAATCTGGCCACATGGGAAAGAAAAACTGGACAACTTCCTCACACACCTCAACAGCCTACACCCCAAAATACAGTTCACCATGGA